TGCGATACACGCAAAGTGTAACGAGTCGATCAATCAGCCCGCTTGCGGCCACGTGCAGGCGATACAATGCGGCGAAGCGTCGTCGCGAAATGAGGGAGAGTCGCCGATATTATATGTCGGCTCCTGAATTGCATCATCTTTATATTTCATAGAATCCGAAACGGCCCAGCGCCATCCGCATATCATACGAGGCTCATCTATCACTACAAAGTTAAATACCAGGGAGTGAGTGTTCATGCACGGAAGCGTCTTGTTGAAAAAAACAAGTAAAGGTTTTTTTAATTTTAGTTTTACCCACTTTTACGTGAAGCGTTTCAACAGGAAGAAAGCTTCAACAGGTGCGTTAATTCAGCTGCTTGTCATTTTTATACTACATTAAAATTGATACATATTTGCATGGCATAATTTGGACTGCTACAATTTGGAAAACACGACTAGTCTCTTGAATCGTACCACCTATTGATTACTTGTATTCAGGGTTAAGAGTTACTTTGTAAAAATATCTAATCACAATTACAGTTTTTTTCACTGAAAAAGTAACTAGTTACAGTCACAAGTTACTGACATTCAAAAATAATATGTTAGAGTTATAATTATTTAGAAAGTAACGAGTCGTTACTTTTCAGTTAATTTTTTACAATAATTGTGCTATCATTTTAAATTTCGTAATTGTGCAAATTCGTTCAATTTTATACAAAAATAGTTTGTTGATTATTATATTCCTCATATTGTATATAATTTTTAGAAATTAGATTCATTAATTTAAATAAGCAATTCATATTTATTCTTTAAGACTATTAATAACAACTGGGCAGAGAAATGCCCAGTTGTTCTCGTTTCCAAGTTTTTGCTGCAACTCGAATATTTCTGCATAATTCTGCAAATATTTCTGAAACCATGCAGCGCACTTCACGCTGAACGCAGATTATGTTAACAAATAAAGACTAGTGACGCGCGACGGAAACGTCCAACAGACGTATAATTTTTTCGAAAGAAATATAGGTTGCGTTCGGAGAGAAGATTACCAGCGCTATTGCGTCATTTTATCCTTGTTTTACATCTAATGAACGATAAAAATAGATGACGCAATAGCGCACGTTTTCCAAATGCAGCTAGAATAACTTTATGCTTATTAGATATCAAACATCGCACATTATCCTGCCAGTCTGGCAGAAACTTCAGTTTCAAATATATGAAGTAACTATTAAATTAGTTACTAGTTATCAAACAAAATATAACTAAGTTAAGTTACAGTTATAGATGGAAAAATAGGAACAAAGTTAAATTATAGTTAAAAAAATAACTATAACTTCGTTACAAATAACGAGTTACTTCCCAGTCCCTGCCTGTATTATAACGGTACAATTTTCCAAGGAATTTTCAAGGAAAACTACATGTGCGACTATTGTTTTTAAAGTCTATAGAAAGCAGTTTATTTTTTTCTTTAGTGTTACAAAAAATATCTACTTTTTGTTTTAATTGAAAAACAAATTTTTGTTTAACGGTCGTTTACTTAAGTTAATTAAGTTTTTAAGAACGAAAATATATTTTACTTCTATAACTTCAATTTCGAGGATGTTCGGCGTAATGAAATTATGCAATTTTTAGTGGTTAAAGAATGATTTTATGAATATAAAAGAGTCAACTTTCATATAAACTTTGTATAAAAATGGATAATTTTAATAATTATTCCAATAAATAATATTATTGTTTGTTTTAATTAAAAAAATCTTTTTAGTTTTTCATACAAAAGTTGTGATATTTTAATTAATTCTTAGTTAAGTTCTCAAATAATATTTCATTCTTGTAATTTTAACGTTTATTTTTTAATTAATTAATTTTTCAGCCCTTTATAAAAACCGTAATTTCAATTAAATATATATTTATCTAAATTGCTTATATTTTATTCTTACTTTCTTACAGTTTTTAAATTAATTACATCGGTATAATAAAGGAAATGTGAAACAATTTGGGAAACCGCATGGTACAATTTAGATAACCAGTTGCCAGAATTGTACCACGTGCAAAGGTTTTACAAAAGACGTATCTGCAGCAGATATTGTAGTACGAAAAATCTAAAAAAATTACAGAATATCACAAACAGATACAAACAAGGATAACTTTCCATCAGTTTTTATCTCGCTTTTATTAAGTATTTGCAAATTATAAAGAAAAATGGAAAACTGATCCAATATAGACAACCTTCCCCTGCGGCTCGAATGCGAGAGTGTCGATCTCCCGTGCGCCAACTTCCGTCTCGGACGCGCGAAATGCGAATCTAAAAATAACCACTCGAGCGCTACGGAGACGCGTGAAATCGATGCTGCCGGAATATTACGAAAATCCCGACAACTCGCTGCGACGAACAAAATTACGCCCCGATACACTCTCATTGCGCGGTACGGTTCCATTAATATAATTAACGTGCCAAGTAAAATGTCGCGCACGCTTGTGAATAAATTACACTCCCCGCGCATTACCGCGCGGCAATATCGCGGCCATCCGGTAACAATGGCAGACGCGAGCGTTGAATATTGAATGTGTTGAGGTAGATTATTTTCAATCAATCGTTGCTACAACTTTTTGCATGTAGATTGTACCGATTTGAATTATATCAATTATTTCGTAGAGACAATTCGGCATAAAGAGAAAAATATGGAATGATACCAACGAGTCTACTTTTTGCGTGTTAAATGTTTAAATATATGTGCTTGAACGAGATATTATAAAAATGTTCCCGTTATACGATAACTCTTATTTTTCTCGCACATGTAACTCTTATCAAATGTGGATTTAATACTGTGATATAAATTATTCTTATAATTTATCTGCGTTCTTCACTTTGCAACTAGACTTGATATGCAGAATTATGTGAGTTCTTATCATATCCTGGAAAAAAAAAGGAAACTTTCGACTGTCAATCATTGTACTTTCATATCTTATCCATTCATGGGATTTCTTAGTAACGTCAGTGATTAAGAGTAACCTTATTTTTTGCCGCGATGGTAAATATGCATAAAAGATAACGCCTCACCGGTATTTTCATTTTAAAATACGCTACAAAAGGTAAAATTCTGAGTATTTTTTATGATACATTTATATGGAGGTCGCTTGTAATTTCCGAGATACTCGATTTTAAAATATTAGAAAAAATAAAGTTTGTGAGAGGGTATCTCCAATAAACACTTTGACACTTTTCTTATTAATTTATATCTCATTAAATTCTTACAACAATCTTTCGCTCCTTACTGAATTCATGAGTCTGCCATATATTAAAAATAAAAATAAAAAATAAATAAAGACCCCTGTACAAGGTTGAATTTAAATGAGCTTAAATCTTGCACAAGAATCTTTGCTTAGTTTTACAATATTTTCATTTTTGTTATATGGTAGATTCATGAATTTAGTAAGGTGGAAAATTTTAACAAGAATTTAATAAAATATATAAACTATTTCTAGTTAGAAAACACTAAATAGATTAGTATGACATGTACAAATCTCACTGTTTCTACAGCAGTTTGTGATACATAAAAAAAAGCATTAAAATTATCAAACTCAAATTTATTATATCTTCTAAATCAACGTCGTCTTCCACTTGATTTTTACGGGAAAGTACACAGAGTATTTTCTCCGCAACGTATCTAACTGGCAACATTGGTGAGATGTTGAAATCTCTTTTGATAATAACTTTTGAATGAACAATGAACAACGGCTGAAATTTCTCGAATGTTACTCAGGAGGATGTCCTTAATAATGTAGGTAACACGGAAGATATGTTTCCTAAAATCCATTTTTACTCTATTATTTCAAACTCTCTATAACGAAATTTCTTTTCGTGAATATAAAAAAATTATGTAACATAAAAACAGCAAGTGCTAACCTCCAAATATAAATTAATTAATAAATAACTTCAATGGTCATTATTATTATATTAATAATAATTCAAGCAGATATAAATTAACAATTAATTTACAATTTTCAATGATTTTATTCCAAAGAAAAAGAAACGATTTGTAACTTAGAAGTTACAATGGGATACAATATTCGTATATGCATGTTTAATAATAATTTAAATTAAGGATATCGATATACAAGGTGTCCCATTTTTAAGTTTCCACTAAAATATTTCTTCAAGAAAGCATTCAAGAAAAAAATATTTTTGACAAAAGTTGTTTGGTTTGAAGGGAGGCATAAGCAACGATATCATTTTGTTTACAGATGACGTCACTTTCAAGATATTACTCTACTAATCATCACTTTTCATAAATGGAAACCGCAATATTTTGTTATATCATCTTTTTCCACCACTTAATTTGACCAACTTTTGTCTGAAACATTTGTTTATTTGCCTACAATTTTCTGAGATATTTCAGGAAAACTTGGTAATTTTTTTCAACATTTAGCTTACGAAGCCAAATATCTCGGAAACTACAAGCGACCCCATATAGATGTATTTAAAAAAAATAATTGAGGATCTCACCCTTTGTAGCATATCTTAAAATGGAAAATATCGGTGAGATTAGCTTTCGTGTGAGTCCTGCTTAACGTATTGCGTACTCGCAGCGGTAATCCGGTCGAGACGAATTACCGAAGTCCGCGGGCGCATTCGAATACGCCGCGGCTGAAAAATAACGCGCGCGCGCAAATGCGTACGGCACATTGTGCGGAACGGTTGATGAAACTAGTAACACGCCATACGCACATAGGCATAGATGGGTATCTATTGTGCGGGCGTATAATGATGGTGTAGCGGCATGCCTCTAGCCCTCGCACGCATTCATAATACATCGCGACCTTGCAAAGCGACACCGCCTCGCCCTGATACCTTAAGCGAGATAATATAGCAGTCCCTAGCCGCTTGTAACAAAAAGCACCGAGCGGAGACGCACAGCGAGCGGACGCGGCGCGATTCGCCGTTCGAGCGTGAATTCGCGCGAGCGAGTGACGCCTCAACTCGCTGCTAACGGCGACGAAAGTGACGGCTCGTCGGCGCCTAATTGCACGATTTATAGACGCGAATCGATCGTCGCCCGGAGCGGCGACGGCGACACGCGAAGTTCGTAATATAGTTCGCGACGCGAACTGGCGCGGGCGCGTCGCGAGACTCCAGCCGGCGAACGAACGAACGAACAGCTCGCGCAACGCGCCGCGCCGTTAGACGACCGTAACAATTCTCGCGGAGTCGAGTGATATTATTCTTCTTCTTTCTGTTCTAAATAGCCTTCATCACACACGGAGCGCTAAAAGTAAGGAAAATCAACAACGAAGAGTCAGCTTCAAATGAGCTGAACTATCAAATGGTTCGTCACAATTTTCTTCGTGGCTACAACTCTCTTTTATAGTAATATATAGGATGTTTTAAAAAAAGATTCAGGACTTTAAGAGCAAGTGATACTCGGAAATGAAGAAAAAAGTCCTAATAAACATGGGTCGAAAAATTAATATTGCCAGAATTATGAACATTAATTTATTATTATTTTATTATTATTATTTTAATTAAAGCAAGTGACTTCCAGTGTTCTTGTATTGTATCTGATGTAATTTGTCTATGTCATTTATCAGTGAAAAAAATATGTTTTAAAGGAATCCCCGTAGAAAAATCTCTTCTCTCTTACTCAGAACAGTAAACATTCAATTTTCTTCCTATTTATACACACGTTTTACCAAGCAATTGCTTGCCATGTATCCTTGTAGACGGCAAACAGTTGCGGAGAGCTATCGGAAAGTTTTCACAGTACGGCAACAATGACATTATATTACTCTAATCAAGAAATGGCAGAAATGCATTTTATGTATGGCCGTACAGTAAAAGCGAATAAGTCATTTGCTTTAATTAAAATAAATAATTGTTCATAATTTCGACAATACCAATTTTCCGATCCATGTCCATTAGAATCCTTTTCTTCCATTTTGCAAGCACCATCTGCGCTTAAAGTCCTAATGCTTTTTTTTAAACATTGTATATTATAAAATAGAGATAACAGAGAGTTCAGAATAGAGAGATTCAGAATATATATAGGATAAACTCGGATATGATGGCCATACATAAAAAAGGTGGCCATATTTCTCCAACAATTGCTACATAGTGCGTTTTTGCAGTCATTCTTAAAGATAATTAATACTTACAGTAATTTATATATGCATACATTATTCGAAAGAATAACATTATAATATTATAAATATCATGTTTTTACTTTCGACTGGCTGCAAAGATAAGCAGTCGTGGCCAACGTTAGGCACATAATGGAAACATGCCAATCGTAATGTGTGATATATAATTTTTATTTCTGTCTTCGCTTTTCTTTTATTTTTTATTATGGCCATCTTTCCGTCACAGTTTGGGTAAGTTGGCCAACAATCGACGTATATTAGCATCAATATTGCAGGCGGAGAACTATTAATATTCCACATAGTCGGTAATTATCGATAATTTATAATGTTCCCATCGATAGCTACCGATAAGTACTGATAGTGCCATTGATAGTTTTGCGCCCCCCTGTATATTATAAAATATATATTCAATATTACAAGGTAAAATTCAATATATTCAATATTATAATATAAAATAATATATAGGGTGTCCTATTTTAACTTTCGCATTAAAAAATCTCGAAAACTATGAAAGATATTAAAAAAAACTAAAACACGTTTTTCATGATTTCGAAGGGGAAAGAGAATGGCATTATCAGTTTTTTATTTGGAAGGCATTTTCAAGGTCAGTTGAGGGTCAACTTAATTTTTTAAAATAGAAAGCCTAATTTTTTATTATATCTTCTTTTTCTACCAATTAATTTTAACAACTTTTGTCTGAAATATTTTTTTATTTGCCTAATATTTTTTGAAATATTTAAGGAAAACTTGGTAACTTTTTCAACATTTAACTTACGATATCTCGCTAACTGTTCGTCGAAAGAAAAAATAGTATTAGACTTTCTTGCTTTATTTAGTCTCAAGAATATATTACTATAATAGTGCTCTAACTTTTGTTAATTTAATAATTTCGAAATTTCCAATAATCGATAAGTTAACAAAAGTTAGGGCACTGTTATAGTAATATATTCTTGATAGTAAATAAAGTAAAAGAGTCTAATACTATTTTTTCTTTCGACGAATAGTTAACGAGATATCGTAAGTTAAATGTTGAAAAAGTTATCAAGTTTTCCTTAAATGTGTCAAAAAATATTAGGCAAATAAAAAAATATTTCAAACAAAAGTTGTTAAAATTAATTGGTAGAAAAAGAAGATATAATAAAAAATTAGGCTTTCTGTTTTAAAAAATTAAGTTGACCCTCAACTGACCTTGAAAATGCCTTCCAAATAAAAAACTGATAATGCCATTCTCTTTCCCCTTCGAAATCATGAAAAACGTGTTTTAGCTTTTTTTAATATCTTTCATAGTTTTCGAGATTTTTTAATGAAAGTGTGAAAGTTAAAATGGGACACCCTGTATAATATAGTATATACAGGGTGGAGGGTTATAAGTTTACAACCCGAAGTGTGAAGGTAGATTGGGTTAAAACAAACATAAAAGTCCCATACCGTTTTGCGAGATTCGCAATAATTATCGAGTTATTAATGACAGAAATCTGACGAATGGGCGCGCGCTGAGATGAATGATTGGAGCAGCGTTGCAGCTACTCAGGCCACAACGCGGCCCACTCGACCAAGCAACTGTTGGCGGCGTGCGACGAGACGTAGGTCCGGCGAGATAAAACAACGAATAGCATTGTCTTTCCTCTCGCCGCACACCGGCAACAGTTACTGGGTCAACTGGGCCGCGTTGCGGCCTAAGCAGCTGCAACGCTTCTCCAATCATCTATGCCGGCGCGTTCCCACTCCTCAGATTTCTGTCATTAATAACTCGATAATTATTGCGAATCTCGCAAAACGGTATGAGACTTTTATATTTGTCTTAACCCAATCTACCTTCACACTTCGGGTTGTAAACTTATAACCCCCCACCCTGTATAAGTTATATATTCAACATTATATGTTATATCATTATATATTATATATCCAATATTATAAAGTAAAATATGTGAAATTACAAATTTTTTGATTGTCTTGCAAAAGTATATCTTTAACATAAAATATATATTTACATGAAATATTATTATTAGTAATAATTAGGAGTAATTATATTAACATAAAATATATATGATCAACTATCCCATAATGGCGCTGTGGCCATCTTTTTCTCAGAAACTAGGTAAGATGGCTGATGCTTACGTTTCGATATTTGGATAATATAAAATTTCTATTAAATATTTTCTCTTTAACTTCAACAGTATTACATACTTTAAGCTTCAGTGAAGCAACATACTAAGCGCTAATAAAAAGTAATAAAAATAAAAGAATATTTCTTTCTTACATTTTAATGTCAATGTGTATATTTGCTGCTTTTGAGAAATATCAATTTTGATTATCATTACCGGGATATTTGTCTTGATTATTGTTAGTATATTTATTACTGCGTAGTTATTTTTATATTTATTTTTCGGAGTAATCGATTTAAGTCGGAGCAATTTTTACTTCAATCCGCAGTACAAAGCTGCTTTTAATCCTGACCCAACGATTCATGCCAATTTGCACACCTCGTATTTCGTGAGACAAGAAGAAATTTAATAAATGAAAATAAAGAGAAACATGAGACTTATCAGATGCGTAATCAGAAGGTCTCAGATTTCCGTTCGTGACTCTGCCCAATAAAGATTGCCTGACAATACTGGAATATCGGCTTCTAGAAAGCGGCTACTTTCGGATCTATCCAGGACAACCCCCCTATGATGACCAAAAGGGTAGGGCCGGAGATAGGAAGGGCGCGGCAGCCAATGATAGATATTGTCCCATTTAGCTAGGCTCACGTTTATCCGAGCTAAACGTGACCTGAGCTGCATTTTTATTCTTTCCCTTTTTCATCACTGGCGCGAGACAATAGAAAATTGGCATCGAAATGATAAGATAATTGCCGCGAGGACGCAAGCTGGATTCTCTCTTGCAGAACTGATAACGCGATTTTTCGGAAAATCGGTCAACTCCAACGATATGGGAAATACGTTACTCCGAAAATTAAGAAAAGAAACGTCTCGGTCGACGGCGGCAATTCATAGTGTGAAAAATATTCCACGAGAAAAACCGCGTAACCTGCTATCTCTCCTCGCTTTGCTATCCTCCGAATAAACATTTCGTGATTTCACGAGTTGGGATGTCGCCGCGTCCCGAAAGGTCACGGTCGAACAATGCGAGCGAAATCGTAAATTTCGCCGTAAAGCCCTAATGCGTAGTAATGTATGTAAGACCCGCGATGTGTGTCCGATCGAAATCACGATTTACTACTGCACGTAGCGAGCTGCTTTGTGTCGGTCACACGCGATATTTTAGCACGCTGACGCAAATTAGGAGAAGCGCTCTGTGTGCATTCCTCTTTCGCTCTCCTCCCCCGCCCCTCTTATGCTGTGTAAAATTTCGCCGCGTCGCCTCGATATTACCCACACGATAAAAATGAAACGGCGTGGGGAGAGGGGGGAAGAGTCGGTTTCTTACGTCGTGACACTCAGTGACACACGAGAAATATCACCCTCTCGTCATTACGAGATCTTTCTTTCGAGATAACGCGTAGAGAGCTCCTTTGCAGGTGGGTCGTTTATTTAGGACAAGCGGAATACATTTTAAGAGTGACTGGCTATTACTAATTTCACTGTTATTAAAGGGATTCGCCGAGACGAGATCCGGGAGACGTATATGCCGCTATTAATTTAGTCACAAACCCGCGGAGGCTAAAAATGGGATTCCATTAATGTAATCATTCAATATCCTCTTCCTCTTTCTCGTCCCAATCCCTCTCTCTCTCTCTCTCTCTCTCTCTCTCTCTCTCTCTCTCTCTCTCTCTCTCTCTCTCTCTCTCTCTCTCTCTCGCAAATATCATCGGAATATTAATTTCGTCAAGGGTACAAGTTTCATTCTTCACACGGGTAAACGCGTAAGAGCATACATAAGCGGAAGGGGAAAACACTTGCGCCAGGTTGGAAAATCGCGTATCATTGGCAGCGTCATTCAACTTCTTCAAACGAATCTCTTCGACCGCGGTAACTGAGATTTTGTTTCTCTTTATATGTACGATATAGTTCCACGCCTTCTGTGACAATAGCTGAACACTCTGTTGCAGAAACTATATTTCCGAGATGAAAAATTTAGTCCCTTCAGTCGAGAGCAGTTGCTAACGCGAATGGTTCTTCGGTTTGCGAAACAGAATTTTCTGGTACTGCAATCGAACCTCATAATAACAGGAAATTTCCAGTTGCCGCTGCAGAATATTTTTCCGCATGCGCGAGTCGCACGAGGTTAATGATTTTGCTACTTCCCGAGTAGAAAAATTAATAGGGCTCTATTAAGAGCCTGATTATTTTTCCCTAACATTAATCGGGTCTTAATAGAGGATAAAAGGCAATATCAACAAGATCTTATAAGGCTTATAAGGCAATATCAACAAGATCTTAAAAGGCAATATTAATAGGGCCTTATAAGGAAATATTTTTGATTGCTTGAATAAAAATATTCACTCTTCTCATTCTAAAAAATTTAAGCTACAATTTCTTTATTTCTTTATAACTTTGTTAGTACACAACAAGAATTTTTTATTTAAGAAATATAGCATACTTTACAATAAAATATAGCATTTTTTACACATAAAAAAAATTCTGCTACTGTTTTTATTAAAATTTGCTGCATTTCAAAATGAAGGCAATACTAGAAAAATCTTTGGAAGAAACTAATGAATATGGCAACTAATAAAACTAATAAAATTTATTTTTAATTGCGATATAATAGAAAAATCTTTGAAAAACCAGATAGAGCGTATTTACTAAAAGAATACTAAACTATGATAATTTTATTATACGCTTCAAATCTATTAATTTTCTATAACAAAACTTGATTTTGTATATCTAAAGCATCCTCTTAAAGAATCTTTCTAAGGCCCACATCAGATTTCTCTATCAAAGCCTTATTTCGTAAAATCTAAGATATCCCTAAAAGATCCATCTCGAAGTCTGATGTGATAATAATAAGATATCCCTCATTAAGACATCCTACTTTCAGCCCTATCGAGGTCTTATGCTTGATGAGGATGGCTCCAACAATTTTTTGCTCGGGTTGCGCGCATCCTCTTTCGAACAGACAGGATTGCGCGACGGAGGTAAGAAGAGGCAGTGCTACGCGAGCCGCGTGGGTGCGAACACATTTAACGTACTTTGCCGCGCGTGAAAAACACCTGAAATTTAGCGGCCAAGAGCGGACTGTTTGCTCCGCGCGCATCGGTCGGGCGCGTCACATGTTTGCACGCATATGGACTTGGCGAGCACGCGTTGTTCGTGGAAAATGAGCGGGAAAGGATTAAACGTGATTAGAATTTATACTGCGACTAGATATCTCGCGAGCGAGGCGTTTCAACGCGGTTCGCTGTACAATTACTTAACTCGCCGGCGACGTAACTAGCCGTTAAGCTCCGAGATGACCGATACGACGATCCGATTTCAATGCTCGAAATGACGTTGCACATTCTCTCTCTTTCTCTGTCTCTCCTCCTCGAACGTAGAATCGTTCGTGATATCTATGAGAATCCGACGAAGAGGCGCGTCGGGCCGTAATCTGATAAGATAAATGGGACGATAAGAGCTTCATACATTAACAAAATAGAAAAGTACAACTTGCCGAGTGCTCTTGCTCGACCGTTTCGCGCTGCGAATATATGGAGAAAACTGCATGCTGGCAAGAGTTTCTGACAAAGCGAGGAAAAGAGACACACACTGCGTGAAAAAAATGGGAACGGAGAGCGACGCGCGTTCCACGTTCTCATTGCGATTATTCACGTGTGCGTTTAACCGTTGTGACTCCAAAGTCGGTCGCGTATTTAACAGATGGTTCTGTGATCCTAGGAGTACACTCGACAGGTGGTCAATTGACAGAACGAGACTTACGCGAGACTTACGCGACGAAATTGTGTCACTATTTATTACCGAGTTCCGAACGGCTCTCTCTCTCTCTCTCTCTCTCTCTCTCTCTCTCTCTCTCTCTCTCTCTCTCTCTCTTTCTCTTTCATACATACACATAATCGTTACGCGATTAATTGTCAGATTTTTCAAACATACGTCGCGCGATGTTTCCTCGATCAAATCAATTACTCGATAAAAATGTCCAATGAAGTAACAACTCAAAGACCTTATCGAGAGGTCATGTGCGTGTTCTATATTTCTCACAGACAACGTGGAATATATGGATGTACCTCCCTCCGGTATAACGCCGATATCTTATCGTTATCGAATAAACGAGCGACTTGCTGCTTCGTCTCACTGAGAAAATATTTTTCGTCGAAACACTAGTTATGTCCGCGGCACCTACATTTTGGTAATTATGCAGAGATAGGGACCACCTCCCGATTTCAATGACATTGAGATATGTTATCAAGGTGATTAGCCTGAATAATGTTATGAAGGTTTCAGCCCGCGCTCACTGTCTATTACAAAGTTATTAATGAAAAAACTTTTTTAAATTAAATATAATTTTTCGACATAATGTACATTATAATATAGTAAATAGTATATACAGGGTGTCCGAGATCTTTTGGAAATGAAAACGGTGAAGATTAATCAGATCAAACTGAGAAGAGAAGTACCATTTTGCAAAAATCACAATAGTTATTAAGGATTGAAAATGGCTATATCTGGAGACTCTTTTAATTGGTAACTTGAAAATTTGCATACTTATTTGCAAAATGATAAAGGACTTTTTTGTTCAGAATGACCTAACCTACAATTATATGACGGTTATTGTGTCTAGTAATAGATATAAATGAACTGAACCCTAAACCTGTCTATATTTCTAATAACTATATAATATTTCTTCATATAAAGCATATGTTAAACTATACGAAGAAATATTATATAGTCACTAAAAGCAGAGGTTGTGTAAGATTGGATTAGTTTTAGACTGGAAAAGGGGCACTGGGGGAAGGGCGAAACTTCTGCCTCGACCATACTCTTCTCTAGAGTACCAATCTAAAATCACAAGAAATATCAACAAAATAGAAAGAAGGTAAACAGAAATTAATGTTTTATTCAACAAACTGACTGTAACAAGCATAGTATTTATACACGGTATTAAAAAATTACATATTATTCACTATAGTTCTTTTATTAATAACTTTGTTATAAATAATGAGCGCGGACTTTACAACAAAAACCTTTACAACACTACTCAGGGTAATGACCTTGATAACATATCTCAATATCATTAAAATCGAGAGGTGATCCCTATCTCTGCATAATTACCTCTATTTTTAAACAGCAAAGAAAGAATTGCAATTACCGGCATGTGCAAATCTACAGTGTTTTAGAAGAAAAAGTTCAAGACTTTAAGGACAGATAGTATTCACAAAATAGAGAAAAAAAGTCCTAATACATTTGGCCCAAAAAATCGATATTGTCGGAATTATAAACAATTATTTATTTTAAGTAAACCAAGTAACGTACTCCCTTCTGATGCACGGCCATACGTGGAATGCATGGCTGCCATTTCTTAATTAAAATAATAGAATTAGAATAATAGAATGTTATTTGAATGAGAGATGTTATTTTTACCGTACTGTGAAAACATTGTGGCAGCTCTCTGCATCTGTTCACCGTTCACGAGAATACGCGACACGCGATGGAAATCTCCATAGGCGTACTTTTTTTTTTAAGAAATGCAAGTTGTGTTTGAAGAAGAGATTATTAGCGCTATTGCGTCATTTATCCTTGTTTTACATCTAATGAACGATAAAGATAGATAACACAATAGCGCGTTTTCCAAATGCAGCCAGAATAACTGTATGCTTATTGGATATCAAGCATCGCATTATCGTGCTAATCTGCTAGAAACTTAAGTTTGAAATATATAAAGTAACTATTAAATTAATTACTAGTTATCAAACAAGTGCGACTAAGTTAAGTTACAGTTATAGATGAAAAAAACGGAACAAAGTTAAGTTATAGTTACCAAAAAAAAAAATAACTGTAATTGTAACTTCATTCAAGTACAAAATGAGTTATTTCCGAATCCTGATATACAAAGTATTTAATAAAGAGGGTTCAGAATTTTAAGGACAAATAATATCCACAAACTAGAGGAAAAAAGTCCTGATAGACATGAATTGAAAAGTTAATATTGTCGAAGTTATAAACAATTATTTATTTTAATTAAAGCAAGCGACTTACTCGCTTTCTGGTGCACAGCAATATGCGAAATGCACTTCCGCCATTTCTTGATCAGAGTAATGCCATGTCATTCTTGCCGTACTGTAAAAACTTTGTGATATCCTTTAGCAGCTAGCAGCTGTCCTCGCTGTTCACGAGGATACGTCACAAACAATTGCTTGATGAAGCGTGTGTACAAATGAGAAGAAAATGGATGTTTGTTTACATTCCAAGCAAAAGCGAAGAGACTTTTCTTAAGGATTCCTTTAAAATATATTTTCTTCACCGATAAATGACATAGACAAATTACATCAGGGAATACAAAAATGCCGGAAGCGAGTAAGTCACTTACTTTAATTAAAATTAATAATTGTTCACTAATTTATCGGCCCATGTTTATTAGAATTTTTTTCTTCCATTTTGTGAATATTATCTGCCCTTAAAGTCCTGAACCATTTTGTGATCACCCTGTATTAGGAATAGCCATGCAAAATCGCGGTTAAAAAACGCGGTGAACAACTGCGCGAGCCTTTCGAGTTATTTTGCATACGCAAAGGAAAAGGAAAACTTTTTTCATTTCTCCTGCCGATATGAAAGTCGTTTTCACGTCAACCGAAGAATTCGTGGAACATTGAGAGAAAACAATGACAACCTGTGTCCAGTTGGCCAATGTCTTTACGTAATCGCTCTTTCGTCTCGATGTCATATGCGATCATTGGGCAGTGACGGTAGCCGTTCATTCGAGTAACCGCGCGCGCAGAAAGTGGCCGGCCGCGAGAGAGATTACACAATCGGCTATCAGTATTCGTCGGTGGTTTATCGCGAGCCGGCCGGCAGGCCGGCCGCGCTAATTGATTCTACGGGACTAATGATGCCAAGCGCGTTTCTGCAAACTGAACGCCGCCGTTGAGTGCGCGTGCACTCGACAAGTCCGCGCCAGACCTTTGAAGTCGCCAGACTACACTCGCGGCTTATCGCTCATATCTACAGGGTGTTTCAGAAATAGGCGGCCAAGTTTTAAGAGCATACTCTGTGAATGATGAAAAGAGGTCATACAGAGCAGGGGCGCCGACTTAAGAAAAATATTGGGGGGGCAAGAAGTCATAACCTCTTTTTTAGTCCTTACATCACCAGGGGGAGGGGTGAAAGTATTTAGAAGGATGTAGGTTATATAGGATGTTAAAAGTTAACTTATAAATTAGGACATTTTGAATTAAAAGAAAATGTTACACCGTCCTTCTTTCTCTCACTCAACCTTGTACGCATTGCTGGGAAATTGAGCCTGCGCATTGACAAGCAGTAACAGCTCAACTCTGAATAGAGTAATATTTTTTCATTTGTATTATTTGTGGTTGTTAAATAACCAGTAAAGAGGGTAAAATTATTGATGGGGCACCGCCCCTCCAATAAAATTATTGGGAGGGCCAAAAGTGCTCTACCCCCCCCCCCCCCTAAGTCAGCGCCTATGTATATGGATCCGGAAACGCTTCTTTTCCAAGTTATAAATACTTTTTATTTACAGTTTTTGGTGAGAACATTTCGTTAAAAAAAATTGTTGGAAATGATTTCCTTCCGCATCAATGCACGCGTCGCATCGACGTCTCATGGATTGTCGAAAACGTTAAAAAATTCTCGGAGTATTTCATATTTTGTTACACAGGGAGCGGCGAATACGATTTCGGAATAACTAACTTCGGAGTAGTAATAGAAATCTCATAAACGAAAGTCTTGAGATATTGCCATAAATAAAACCCAATGGATTCAAATAGGGAGGTCGTGCAAGCCAAGCAATGGATCCTTCTCTGCTAATCCATCTATTGATGTAATTATTATTCAGAAACTCTCAAACAATGCGACTAAAATGTACTGGACATGTGCTTGATAAAAAACTTGTTGATAACTTGGAAGAGAAGTGTTTCTGGACTCACATATGTTTTTGAAACACCCTGTATATTATCAGACGGACATACGTCAGAGATATATAAACAAGTGACTGGCATTGTGTGTAGTCACTTCTTAATGCATAGCGGTTGACATCGCCCAATATTTTAATAGCGCATGCACACATTCTGCGCAGGTTGCAATTAAAGTAAAAAATAAGGAAAGTGATTCCTGATTCGGAAATGTCAAGGTCACGATAGTCACGCTGAGTTCTACGAACGAATTGTTCGAGCTAGTGGCCAGCACTAAGATTAACGGCAAAAATGACTGATTCAAAAAAACGGAGGGGGAGGGAGAAAAGCGTAGCGGGAGGGGGATGCCTTAAACGGCACGCGAGCGTCGCACTTTGCGTTGCCGGCGCCTCAACAACCTACGATTGTTCTCGCAGCAGATTATATTCCGACTCTCATTATCATAAATGAAGCGTTTATCGATGCACGTGCGACGCGATTTAATGAAGCACCGTCGTCGTATCGCGGACGCGACGTCGTAACAGACGACAGCGAGATTTCTTTTCTCACGAAAGAACCATCGAGGCTTGAAGTTCCTTTTTCCTGCCAGCCAAAGTAACGAATCAATTTCCGACGCGCGAGCACGCGGCACGACGACGACGACGACGACGGCGATGACGTGCGATATCGTTCGCGACTTTCGATCCGAAACAGGTGCGACGCGCTATTTCTCGTCGAAATAATTCCGATACTCCCATTGTATGTTTACGCCACCGGAGAGCCCGAGGTATATCAAAATAAAAATCGACACGATAAGGTGACTAAAATTGCCAAGGCGACGATAACAACTTAGAGAGCTATGCATAGGCATGTTATATAAAGTCGTCATCATTTGAAATTCTATTATTATTTCCAGGAGAACACGAAAGAGCAACCATGAAAATCTTTCTTCAAATTACGAAGAATCGCTCCGCTCAGAAATTCAACTCTCGAAAAACGGAGACGGTGAAACTTCATCTATCATTGATTTCTAATGAACTTCAACGAGCTTTCAATTTGCAAATTAATGAATAAGATGTTTAATATTAATTAAGGCATTTAATATTACTAAATTTGAGATATTTAATATTATTTTTAAGGTACCTAATATCAGGATTGGGAAAACAACGAGTGCAACTCGTTACTTATAACGTAGTTATAGTTACAGTTATATAGCACAATTGTTGTAAAAAAATAACCGAAAAATAAGTAAAAACGATTCGTTACTTTCTAAATAATTATAACTCTAATAGTTATTTCTGAAGGTCAGTAACTGTAACTGTAACTGTAACTAGTTACTTTTTCAGTGAAAAAACTGTAACTAGATATTTTTACAGAGTAACTTTCCTAACGCTATCTAATATTATTAAAGTTATTTGATATTATTCAATATTACTAGCTGGAAACTTGCACGCGACCATTCCCTCATTGTTTTCGCTAAATAGAAACTCGATATTAATTATTTACAGGAAATTTGTAAATATTTACGAGAGCAATTAATTATTAAAAATTAGCATTTAATTACTAAAATGATAATACTGATAATAATTATTAGATAACAATTGATAATAACTGTTAATAATAATATTAGTTATTAAAAATTAGTAATTAATTAAGAGTAACTGAGACACTTACATCAACACTCCGAGTGACTCGCTGGATCCAGGACGCTCTGTACAATTGGCGATTACATAAAAGAGCGCGACAATGCGGAATCGCGGCCATCGCGCGAGCTGAGTCGGTTAAAAGTTCATGACATTGGAAATTGGAACGTAGAATGCGACTGCCGCGGTCGCATCGACGCGCGGCCGCCGCAAGTTATGGACAGCTCACGTTAGACTTGGTCCTTACATCGGTATCGCTATACGCAAAACGGTGTTGTATACGCATCCTGTCTCTACGTAACCTCGCTTTACAATCACACGTGCTTGGCTGGCGGTGCCGCTCGTAAAAAGCGCAGCTATAGGCGATGAAAAAAACGTGACTACTGTCATTCGTCGGGAACGGCCGGACATAGATGATTCGCGCGAAAGCGGACACGTATGGTCGCGTGTTGGCCCCCTTCAGCAACTATCACCGATCGACCCGAGTTTTCGCCCGAGTCGAAGCACAGGAATAGCATACGAGAGAAGAAAATCTGACACCGGCTCGTTCAGCAGGCGCGACTCGCAATCAAGCGTTCCGCGAAAAAGGAATGTTTCCGCTTCGTGACGTACTGCAGTTACTGTAGAACTTTCAGGCGTGTCCTTGAAGATGCGCGAGGCGACGCGCGTATTCCCGCGAAATTATTCCTACGCTTGACATAACATAGCACGCACCGTGTCGGCTGAGAGTATCCTGCACGTCTTCGACTGACGATTGCTACGTGTACGAAAGGATCAACCGGATCCACCGCGCGTGCGTACAAATCGAACGAAATGAAAATTCCGGCCGACACGTAAGGGAGAAAAATACGTTCTTCTCGTCGAACGGTGACGACGCTGTCTGTTTCTCTCCTCGTCTGAAATTACCAACGATCGTGCTCTCTGCTCCTAATGTCCCGGCAGAAGCGATCAGTGCGAATTTGAGGCTCGCGCGCTAACGATCCTGAAGTTTCATGATCCTTTCTTTAGGAAGCAATTAAAAACACTTGCTCGACTATGTACGATATTCCCACATGAAAAATGAGGCGGGGGTCAGTACTTAGCGAACAGATGAAAAATTCATCGCCAGTCGAGTTCTCTAGTAGAGACTTTTGTGTGTTCCGCCGACCTTTTAATGATGGTCAAGGCCAATAGTAGACACGAGAAAGTGATTGAGTTCCTACGTCATTGCGAACAATTGCTCGCTCGCTGCGGTTTCGTCGTTTCTTTTACACGAATGGGAACACTCGTAGGAGTCAAATTCTACGACAATAATCGAAAAAGCACTGTCACACGAAACATTCGGCTGTTACCACCGCGGAAAAAAAAATGAAAAATACAACAGAAACGTTCGAACAACACGAGAGAACATGCCGATAACTTGACGTCAATTGTAGGAAACAAGATCATCGTCGAAATAGCGCGATAAAAAGAAATCGCTTCTTGTGAAAATAAAATTCGGTTGCAACGGATAAGTGAAATTATTGTTATTATCACATGTTTTGTAGCATCATTCAAAATTCAAAAAGTATCTTCGAATGATCGGCGAACAAGCAACCAGCAGCACACCCACCGAGACTCGAGCGCACATATATTTGACAAATTTGTAAATCAATTTCCACGACGGATATAAATCAAATATATCGCGGTTTCATTCCTCGGTAACGTAAACAGCCTGACGCGCGTTTTATGCTCGTTACGTTGTAAATCGCAATCGCAGCCTTCAGATCGCTGATAAGTATGCGAGAAAAAAACGTTCAATTATGCGGTGCTGTCGTCTCGTGCGTAAGCAATACGATATCGATATCGGATAATCTCGATTTACCACTTTTAAACGTCACGTCACACGGCGATTTACAAAAGCAGCTGGGAGGGGGGAGGGAAGGGGGGAGTCCCTCTGGTGCCATTACAGCTGCTCTAAATGAGAAGCCGCGTTGTCGCATTTGGAATTCACAAGTGTTCGTATAATGAAACGAACGACGCGAGAGAGATGATTGACACGAAAAATTAAGCTTCGGCAATGAAAGAGAGAGAGAAAGAGAGACGCAAATAGATTCTCGAGAGAGCAATTTTCGCTCGTGGCAGCACAATTTCGCACAAAACCGTCGGGAACCGACGCCTTTATTGTTATCAAGAGCGTTAACGACCGCCAGAGCTGTATCTAGCGAGCGTATAACGAGACAATTAAGAGCTAATAACGCGTATTATTATCAGAAACGCATGATTTCGTCGTCGACGGGTCTGTTGACAGGCCGTGCGAAAGCGAGCGGCGATGCCTTGCGAATTGCAGCTCTAGCATGGAAATGCGTTCATTATTCACGAACGCCAGGATGGAGGAATCGATGTGTATGAAGTAAGTTCGCCCACACTCGAGCGCGCGATAACCGCGAGAACGCATATTTTAACCGACCGCATGTGCTCTTTTTCAGCGAGGGCGAGCGACAATCGAAGATATCGCAGCTGTTTAACCCTCAATAAGCCTTATTTGCTGAGGTAATCCTTGGACGACGTGTACATCGGCGAGCGATAAGGCCATTGAGATCGTCGAGCAACGAGTGGTCGTGCATGAGCATTACGTCTGCATAAGAAATAATCTTCCTACTGCACTCTACATGTATACGTAAAAATTTTGTCATTTATATAAATGCTGCTTCCAGCATGCTTCGTTATTATATATAATAAAAAAAAACGTAGTAAAATGTATAGAATATAAAATTTTATATTCAACATTTATAATTTATATCTAATATATATATTTTTATCTAGCATTTTTCAGCAATCTCTTAAAAATTTTGAAGTAATTTAATTTCTTTAAAATAAAAAATTTCAAATATAATTTTTTTAAAATTTTAATTTCCTTAAAAGCTTTTTTAAATTTAGAAAATAAAACTTTAAATAATGTAATTTCTTTTTAAAACTTTAAAATTTTCTATAGGTATAGGTAGATGTACATATTTCATTATTTAATTTACAGTGATTTACGATATATTATACCCCAAATTTATATCCACATCTAATATTTTTATTTTTAATAACACTTGTCAGTAATCTCTTTAAAATTTCAAAATGTAATTTCTTTAAAATTTAAAACTTAAAAAATTTTCTATACATATATTTTTTTACGTAATTTACTATATTTACTATATTTTTTAACGTACATATTGTATTTTTTACGTATACTATAATTTTTACGTAATTTATTTATGATATCATATATTATACCCAAAATTTATATCTGCATCTAACATTTATATTTTTATCTAATATTTCTCAGTAATTTTTTTCAAAATTTTAAAGTGCAATTTCTTTAAAATTTAAAACTTTAAAATTGTCTTAAAAACTTGAAGTAAGTTATTGAGATATTAGATAAAAATATATAAATGTTAGATCTAGGTATAAATCTCGGATATAATATATCGTAATCAATATAAATTACATAAAGAATTATATACACATATATAAAACATAACGTAAAAGTTTGGGGTGGTAGAGTAACCGGCGCGCACACGTTCCCAGGATATATCGAGCGTTAAACAGATCGACGACTGTTTGCGAGCGCGCCAGTCGCGATTTCATTCCTCGCTTCGTCACTTATCACTATTTGCACCACGATTATTCACCTGACGACAAAGGAGTGCCTTGTCATCGGCAAAGAGAGAGACAAGTTCGTACAAGGAGACGCTTCGCGAGGAAAAATATGCAGCGCGACGACATTTTCTGCTGCTCTCGCGCGAGCGTGAGCGACAATCGCGCAAAATTTGTATAATCACGTGATGTATCCCTCGACTTAGCAAAAATACGCACGTGACACGCCGGCGAAGAGTCCGAGGTCAAACCGAAACGGACAGACGGCCGGCTGGTCGCTCGGTATCTCGTCGGCGAAAGGATCTCTCCTCGAAACGGATCGAGGACACTTTCGGATTTCGGAATAACGAGAAGCGCGCGCAAACGAGAGAGAGAGAGAGAGAGAAAACTATTGGAAAAACAGAAATGCCATCCCACATTCTTGTGCACTTTGCGCAAGAGCTGCTAAAAATGTCGCATCAGAAATATTCGTGGACGCATATATTCGCCTCTGCATAACAGTTTGTATCTCGACGTATGTTATCGTTGAAGAGAAGATCAATAAGGGCGTTTTTCTGTCCCCATTTCCAAGAAACAATTTTTTTTTGTATCGTACAGTCATTAGGAACGTCAAATATAATAATCAGGTGAGGAAAAGCTCGATTTATAATGTTAACAATTAATTATTAATCTAGGTCCTTATGATATCTAAGCGCTTTTCACGATTAATAAGTGGACTAGTAAAATATTTTCACGCTCATTATATACTTCTCTGCCATCATGTTAACGTTATTTTAAATTGCAAAATATATTGGCCCTAAGATGAAACTGATAAATACAGCTTATAGTGAAGAAATTGATTTTTATTACTCCTGACATGTAGGTGTCAATAACAAGTAGATGATCACTATTGGTAGCTTAAAGCCTCCACAACGCATTAAGGTTCATAGAATCAAGATCAAGGTTCGTAGAATCATTGTTGATCATTAAAAATTTTAATTTTCTTTCTTATTTTGCTTTTTATTTTTGTTTCTTTTGAACTTTTTGTTTTTGTCTTTTTTGGGGTATATTAAACATTGCAATCGTAACTGTTAAGCGTTTTTTGATGATGATCGCTTAGTATTCAACGATTTTTCCTCATCATCCGGTAAGACAAGTAATGGGCGCCATCTCTCATCTGTATTATTTCCAAAATCTCTGGATGGTCTAAATTGACGTTAATATGATGGCACAGAAATATTAAGCGTTCCGATTAGTTTTGAGGGCTTAATATAGATGGCTATAGCTACAAATCTACTAGAGGTACTTTGAAAGTTGATACGCCATTTTAAAGGACATTTCTACAAATAATTGGACATATGGAATATACATTCATGAACATAACCACACTTTTTATGCGATGGAAGCATAATAAAGAGCATTTTCGACATTTACTGCTTTATTGTTTTGATGCGGAGAAAACGGCTGCTAAAGCCCACCGATTCATCTCAAGAACTTATTCTGAAACTTATTCTTTTCTCTATCGGTTAAAACATGCGAGTACTGATATCGGCGTAGTGATTTCGATTTGAAGAACAAAGAACATTCAGATCAACCAAAAAAGTTTGAAGGCGCCGAATCGCAGGTATTATTGGATGAAAACTCAGCTCAAACGCTTCAAGAACTAGTTGAAGCATTAAATGTAAATGGTAAATCAACCGTTTCAGGTCGTTTACACGTAATGGGGAAGATTCAAAAAGAAGGCAAATGAGTTCCACATGCATTGTCTGAATTGACTATTCAAAATCGTTTAACCGTTTGCACTTCATTGCTTCTCGACACAAAAAAAAGCAGTTATCAAATTATAACTGGAGATGGAAAATGGATCTACTATGATAATCCTAAGCGTAAAAAGTCGTGGCCAACCATCGACATCGACTCGAAAACTCAACATCCACGAAAGTAAGATTTTATTGTGCATTTGGTGGAACATGAAAGACGTCGTGTTTTATGAATTGCTACAACCGAATCAAACAGTCACTGCTATGCGTTATCAACAACAATTAATCGATATGAATCATGCTTTAAACCAAAAACATCCAGTAATAGCTCGAAGAAAACGCAAAGTGATTTTGTTGCACGACAATGCTCGACAATGCACGTTGCACAAACAGTTAAGGATACATTATCAGCATTTGGCAATGGGAGATCCTACCACACGCCGCGTATTCACCAAACTGTGCTCCTTCCGATTACCACTTATTTCGATCTATGTAGCACAGTCTTGCTGACCAGCACTTTAAATCATATGAAGAAGTACAAAAATGGCTCGATAAGTGAATCGCTTCGAAGGACGAACATTTCTTTTATCGCGGAATTCACTTGTTGCCTGAAAATAGCTAGCGATGGAAAATATTTTGAATAGAACATAATTTAAAAGTCTCTCAAAAATAAACGTGTTTCTTTTGCAAAAAAATCCCTCAAAACTAACCGGAACACCTGATATAATGAGCGAAGATATTTTATTAGTCTGTTTATTAATCATAAAAAGTCATAAAGACTTGTACGCCGCAGCAATATATACTCAGGCTAATAATTAATTTTAGCTTTACGGATCGAGTTTTTTCCTCATCTAATGGTTATTTTTTTGACCTTATTGGCCTTCCTCGTTTCCCTCATCAATCGAAAGTTAGAACCTTCGTTGGAGCAAAGACTGCTATTGTGACGGCAGAAACCGCGAAGATGTCGGCGGCGGATGATGCAACAATTCCCGCGCGAGTTAATACTTCAATTTACACGCAATTCATGCGACGGTTCATGCGTCAATTTACGCGCAAGCGGGCGTAAGATTGATTTCTTCGAGGTTCTAATAAGAAAGACGCTCTTGGGAACAAATGTATTAATTGATATATGGCGTTACGCGCTCAATACTTGGAAGCAGGAGGTGCCAATAGCATCACTTGATCGGGCGCGTACGCGCGCGAATCCGCTGTTCGCGATTTATCAATTTGTTTGGGCTAAAGGGTGTCGGCGCGACATTTGCCTTTTGTGGCCCCTATCAATGGGGATCCTTAGCATTGGCTCGAGCATTAACTAGCTGGCAGACGAGCGCAACGAGGAGTCGCGATGTGTCAACTTACGTCATTCGAGAACGAACGAATAAACGAACGAACGGCAACAACAGCGCCGGCGGGAATGGCGCAACATGGAGGAGAACCGCAACGCGGTTGTTCCACGAAAGAATCAGAAAAGAATACTTTCTCCCCGCCCATTCCCCTCTTTCTCTCAATCGTATTATGAATTTTGGGAGAAAATGACGCGAGTATGCGATGCAAATATCGAAGTTTTGGCAAACGAAAATTGTCAAATTCATCTGACGCTTATACAGCCGCGATTAACGGACGAAATTTTATTCCGGGAATTTAGAGGATAAAATGAAACATTAATTGAAATTGGTGCTTCTGTTTCTAAGAGTTTCTCCAACAATCCTTTTTATTAAAGTTTTCTTTAATAAAAAAAAAAGTTGCGTGAATCATTCTCTCTCTCCCTCTCGCTCTCCCTCTCTCTCCCTCCCCCCTTTGCCGGCATTATTGAGAAAAAGTTTCGTTGAGCTAATAAAACATCAGTAACCGCAACAAATGGTTTGTTGTTAATGTGAAATAGCAAATGACTCTGTTGTCGTAACAAATGATTTGCTACTTATGATTTGTTGCTCTAACTAACTAACAATTTTATAATGGGAATAAATGATATCGTTATGTTAATCCAACAAATCATAAATTTTTTATTTGTTGGCAATACAGAATATGAGCAAAAGTTAGAAATTATATACAAGCAAATCAGTTGTATTATATAACTCTTCTTCACCAATAATAATATACTGCAAAATACGTAAAATACTTGAGGAAACGACACATGCAATGCTACACTAACTCGTATCATAATTACCAGATAATTCAAATATAAGTCCATTACATCTAATCAAACATTGGGAGAGAAGGGAGAGAAGAACAAAATACTTTTAAATCACTTTAAGAGATGCTTTTATCTATATGAAAATTCAGGATATGGACCATATAAAGAGTCATGTGCATGTATACAGGATGTCCAAGATCTTTTGGAAACGAAAAAT